TTTATTGTAGACATGAGGTCTCGCCAAGTTGCCCAGGCGGGTCTCGAACCTGTGGGCTCACTCACCTCAGCCTCCCAAAGACGTGGGATTACAGGCTGAGCCACCAAGACCGGTTTATTTTTATTTTATTTTTTTTTGAGTTGGAGTCTCACTCCGTCGCCCAGGTTGGAGTTCAGTGGCATGCTCATGGTCACCCCAGCGTCAACCTGCTGGACTGAGGTGATCCTTCTGCCTCAGCCTTCCAAGTAGTCAGAACTACAGGCACACACTACCATGCCTGGCTAATTTTTTTATTTATTGTAGAGACTAGATCTCGCCAAGTTGCCCAGGCTGGTCTTGAACCACAGGCTCAGGCAATCCTCTCGCCTCAGCTGCCCAAAGTGCTGGGATTACAGGCTTGAGCCATCACACCTGGCTATTTTTATTTTTGAGTTGGAGTCTCACTCTGTTGTCCAGGCTGGAGTGCAGTGGCACACTTACAGCCACTGCAGGCTCAATCTGCTGAGCTCAGGTGATCCTTCCGCCTCAGTCTTCCAAGTAGCTGGAACTGTAGGCACGTGCCACCACGCCTGGCTAATTTTTTGATTTAGAGACAAGTTGCCCAGGCTGGTTTTGAACCCCTGGACTCAGGTAATACTCTAGCCCTTGCCTACCAAAGTGCTGGGATTACAGGTGTGAGCCACTGGGGCCAGCGAGAGTGGCTATTTTTTTTTTTTGAGTTGGAGTCTCACTCTGTCGCCCAGGTTGGAGTGCAGTGGCCGCTCTCGGCCACCGCAGCCTCGACCTGCTGGGCTCCGGTGATCCTTCTGCCTCAGCCTTCCGAGTAGCTAGAGCTACAGGCGCGCGCTACCACGCCCCGCTAATTTTATTTATTGTAGAGATGAGGTCTCGCCAAGTTGCCCAGGCAGGTCCCAAACCCACAGGCTCAGGCAGTCTACTCACCTCAGCCTCCCAAAGGGGCAGGAAAGTCTCAGGGGGTGAAGTCACCCAGCCACTGTCACCGTGCTGCCCCCTCACCTTCCCCAGTACCTCTGAGCTGCTGTTTGCAACATCTCTTACTCCCTTTGCATCCCAGTTTTTCCTGTTTCTCTGTCTCTCTATCCCCAAATCTTTCTGTCTCTGTCTTATTCTAGGACTCTCTCTCATCTCGAAGCTTCCCAGTCTGTCCCTCCTCCCTTCCCCTAAGACTTTCCATCCCTGTCTCAATCCTTCTTCCTCAGCCATGGAATGTCTGTCTGTCTCCTCTCTGCCCCAGGCCCCTCTTTCTAGATTCTTCCCAGACCTCCCCCCTTCCCCAGGGGAATCTTCCCCAGGGGAGGTGGCTCTGTCCCTGTCCCTAATTCCATCAGTTCTCCTGCTAAGAGAGAGATTTTTCTCTCCAGTTTTAACTCCCTCAGGGCTCTGGCAAGAGAGACTGGGAACTTTTACATAAGGGGACAGCAGCCTCTCCCCCCAGGCAGGCACTGGTCCTCAGAGACCAGGCCAGCGCCCTCGGGACCCTGGCATCTCCTTCTCCCACCCTGGCTGGCTAAGTCACCCTTGGCCCTGGCTCTCATTTCTTCCTCCATGACATCAGCCTTCCTCCCAAGGTCTTGTAGGGGGGGACGGAAGGGAGGAGCAGCCGGGAGGGGCGAGTC